CTGAACAAAGCATGGGGTTTTTAAGCTGTCTTTTGGGGAGGGTGTCTGTGAGCCAGAACATTTTCTTGGAGAGGGTGTCCGTGGGTCAGAACAGCCCGAGAGGGGTGGGTTGTTTATAAGAGTTGAACATCTGGTTCTGTCAAGGTGGATGAGGGCGAGGTTGGCTTTTGTCAAGGGGAACTGGAGGGGAACAGGTGAAGAGGAAGGAGTTTTTATTAACTCCTTAATAAAAGAGCTTAAATCTCCCATGGGGGGGGCATTGCCTTGTGACTTATCAGAAAGGTGTGCAATTTGGCCCACAGTTTGTAGAGATTTCCTTCCATAGTCTGCTGGCTTCAAGGCAGAATGCCATGGCAGAAGGACTGGGTAGGGGAAAGCTGCTCACCTCATGGCATCCAGGAAGAAAAGAGAGCAAAGGAAGGAAATGGGGAGGGAGATAAGCCCTTCAGGCCACACCCTCAGTGACTTGCCCCTTCTGACCAGACCCCACCTTCTCACAGCAAGTCAACTATAATCCCCCATCATCCAGCCACCTCCCAAAAGCTCTATGAAAATAGCTCTGTGGTTCATTCTAGAAGCATCCAGAAAGATCATCATCTCACCAATAGAAAGCATCAAATGATGACTTCCACACCAACTCCTCAAATCTTTTGCTTCAAAATCCTTACTACAATATCTACCAATCTTATATCATGATCCTAATGAAGCCTACCCAGGGTTGTGCAGGCAAAGGCTTGCCCCATGACAATCTGAGTCTTCAAAAAATATTTTGCAACCCTCCCAGAATGCAAGATGATGGGAGTAACTTTAACACAAAAAACCAAGTGCAGCAAGACATGCTTATACTCCCCGCTACTCAGGAGGGCGAGTGAGTCAGGAGAATCATTTGAGCACAAGGATTCCAGGCCAGCCTGGGCACCACAGTGAGACCTTGTCACTTAAAAAATAATAAAGAAAAATGGATATATAAACTTTAAGGCAAACAGAAGAAAAAAAATGAAAGCAACTGGTGAACTGCTTTCTCAGTTGGCTCAAATATCTCCAGGCCCCAGGTAAGGCTTCTCTAGAATGATATTTGAGGGTACCAACACCCGCCAACCTCCAACTCCTTTAGCTCTCTCCTGGAGGCCATGTGCTCAGTAAGTACCTAACATTTGGGGTGCAGGCTTCCGAATCAAAATAGAAACTTGCAATCTCCTTGGCCTTTTACAAACTGTACAAATCTTCTTGATCGTTTTGCTGTGTTCTTCTCTTTAGGGGCCACACCTCCCATGCCTTACTCACTTTAGGCTGCTATAACAAAATACCAGAGTAGGTGACTTAGGAACAGCAGCAATTCATTTCTCACGGTCCTGGAGCCTGAGAAGTGCAAGAACAAGGTGTGGACAGATACAGTGAAGGCCTGGTTTCTTGGTTCATAGATGATGCCCTGCAGCTTTATCACCACTTGGTGGAAGGAGACAAGTTCCTTTGGGTTCTTTTACAAGGGCACTCATCTTGGTAGTCAAATACCAGACAACTATACTTCTTTGGGAATTTAGGGGGACACAAACATTCAGACTATAGCATCTCAATTCTTTGGACTCCATTTCTGGTCACCCATTTCTATGTTAATTCATTTGATAAATATTTATTGAGACATTTCCTGATGCAATGTCCAGTTGAAAGTGCTAGTGACAAGCCAGACGTGGTGGTGCACACCTGTAATCCCAGCACTCGGGAGGCTGAGGCAGGAGGGTGGCTGTGAGTTCGAGGCCAGCCTGGGCCACAAAATAAGTTCAAGGCCAGCCTGAACTACATAGTGAGACCCTGTCTCAAAAAGACAGACAGACAGACAGACAGACAGACAGACAGAAAGAAAGAAAGAAAGAAAGAAAGAAAGAAAGAAAGAAAGAAAAAGTGCTAGTGATATAGTGTAAGGATCCGTTGGGTTCTTGCTGTACTCTGGGAAGGAACAGCAGTGGTGAGAATGAAGGAAAAATGGACAAGAGACAAAAGCCTGGGATCAGGTGGAGTTTCTCTCTCTCCTGAGTGGAGAAGCGGAACTGCCCAAGAACAGTAGACAGTTTATTTTATACCCTCCAGAGGTTGATTAATTTCAACCTCTCTGCCCAGCATTCAGTTAACAAGCTACGCTTATTATTCGCTTGGAGGTGCTCCCGCGTTCTCAGGCTGAGCTTTGTCCTGCACGTGTAATTACTTTCCAGCTTCAGCTGCTCCCAACAACATGGCACATGCCTAACAGTTGAGAACAATTATAAATTGCTGCCACTTCATCTGTGGTAAGTTCTAGAAAGGAGAAGCACAGGCGCTATGAGAATGGTGAACAGCGAATGCCTTGAGAACCATCAAAAAAGTTCTAAGTACATATAAAGAATTAAAAAATTTCAGCCCCTCCAAATTCAAAGACCCAATCCAAAAATGGGCAGCTGAGATGAACACACATTTCTCAGACAAGGAGATACAAACGGCAAATAAATATATGAGAAAAGGTTCAACATCATTAGTCATTCGAGAAATGCAAATTAAAACAACACTAAGATTCCACCTTACCCCAGTAAGAATGGCTAGCATTAAGAAATCAACCAATAACAAATGCTGGCGAGGCTGTGGAGAAATAGGAACCCTTCTCCACTGCTGGTGGGAATGCAGACTGGTGAAACCACTGTGGAAATCAGTTTGGAGATTCCTCCGAAAAATAGGTTTAGAGGTCCCATTCAACCCAGCTATCCCCCTGCTGGGTATTTTCCCAGAAGATCTAAAAACATCATATCACAGTGATATATGTGCACCTATGTTCATAGCAGCACAATTTGTAATTGCTAAAATGTGGAAGCAACCCAAATGTCCATCCACCGAGGATTGGATAAGAAAATTATGGTACTTTTATATAATGGAATATTACTCAGCTGTAAAGAAAGATAAACTCGAGGCCTTTATATTTAAATGGTCACAACTAGAGACCATACTCATAAGTGAAATAAATCAAACATACATGTGCAAGCACCTCATTGTGTCACTAGTGTAAAACTTGAAAGAGTTAAGTTAAACTCGGAGGTATGATAGACACTGTGAAATGATAGGAAACCACCGAAGAGTAAAGGGCTTCTGGGATGTGGGAAAAGAGAAGGGAAAGAAGGAGAAATTTTGTATGTATGTATATACAGGATAGATAACATGGTTGTTCTTCTATCTGCTGTTTCTATGCTGAAAGAAACTGTCAATGAGTCTTTGGTTGACCAGTATTGCATGTCTATATCTGTTTTCATGAGAAGCCACTTTGAAGATATCAATATGTAATACAACCACCATTGTTAATTCCCTACCACTTTGTTTGGAACTCTGTATTGTCTGTATTGTGCTTGTGATATGTTGTAAAATGTTGTATGTCTGTTAATGTTTCCCTCCTTTTATCCTTAAAATAAAAAAAAATTTAAAAAAAAAAAAAAAAGTTCTAAGTGTTTGCTTACTAGAGTAGAACTTGCTCAGCCAGAAGAAAAGAAAATTCGAAATGCAGAGAACAGTAGAGGCAAAGATCCTGAGGCAAGACGTAAAGAAAGCAGTAGGAACTAATTTGGCCAGAAGACAAAAGGTAAGACCAAAGGGAGAAGATGCAGGTGAAATAAGCAGGAGCCAGAGCCAAAGTTATGAAGCCACATTAAGGATTTGTGTTTCCTTTCTTGGGTGTAGAACACACTGTCTACTATTTAGACCCAGTGGAAATTTGTCCTTGATATTTTGACTCTATCATGAATACAGCTTAACCCAAATGACATAAAATTAATACATTTTCATCTAGACAACATCCTTCTTAGTAATTAAATCAATTTAATTCATTGATCAATTACCATACACAAGATTTAAATTGATTTTTAATTTTTCTCATTTCCTGTTTACTGGTATTAAAATTAACATGATATCAATTTTTAATTGTAATTTTCTTTTTTTTTTTTTTTTTTTTTTTTTGGTCTTTTTGAGACAGGGTCTCGCTATGCAGTTCAGGCTGGCCTTGAGCTCACTTGGTAGCTCAGGCTGGTCTCCAGCTCACAATGATCCTCCTGCTTCAGCCTCCCAAGTGCTAGATTACAGGCGTGGGCCACCACGCCCGGCATTTACTTGTAACTTTCAGTGAAAATTTGTTTCATCCTAAACTTTAATTTTCCAGGGTCTACTTATAAATTATAGCAACATTTGATTTTTTATGTTCATTTTTACTTAATCAGATTTTATCAAGCGTCATTTTAGCCTTCCTTAGCTTTATTTTGTTTCAGATATGTTTGTGTTATTCTTTCTGGGTTAGACGATGAATTTAAAATAAATCAGCTATTTATTTTTTAACTACTCCACAAGAAAATCTTGGATTGTTCTGTTGTATAGGACTCATCTTCTGTAACAGTTCTCCAACTGTGTGTCTTTTTTGAAATCAGCTATGTGTTTGATTAAAGACTGAAATAGAAGGAGGACAAGGAAAATCATAATTTAAAAACGTAGTTTTTAAAAGATAGACACTTAAGGACACAATCAAGTTAGGCTTGCTTATGCTTCTTCCAAGCTCATTAAACCCAAAATCCGTAATAAATACGTTCAAGTCCATAAATTACTCTAGTTGATAAGGAAAAGGGCAGAAACGTGATTTTAAAAAAATACAACACACAAGCCCCTTTCTCCTTTCTACCTGTGAGTGATCCTGTCACCTTGGGCTTTTTAGCTAATCCAAAAGAAAACCTTGAATTGTTCGACTGCTCAGGACTAATTTATTGTAGTAGTTCTCCAACTACTTAGAATTTACTTAGACACTAAATAAATTCGGCAGCCCGAAGAGTCAAAGCGCACTCTACTCGCGGCCTGACATTCGAGCAGATCGATGATCGTCAAAGCGGGTCTGGCGACGGGAACTACTTTCATTCTCGCGAGCCTTCAGGGAAAGCGCTTTGAATAGGGACGGGAGGTCTGGGCAGGAAGAGGAGGGGCGTGAGGCGTCGGCACGCAGCGTCCCCAGAAGGCTGTGCGCTCACGTTACTTCCGGCGGCTCTTCAGCGTGAGCGCGTGAACCGCTGCCTGCTACCTGGCCATGGCGCTTCACGTCCCCAAGGCCCCGGGCTTTGCCCAGATGCTCAAGGAGGGAGCGAAAGTAAGGAGTGAGACGAGAGGCCGAGGCGGGAAAGCCGGCGTGGGTTGCAGCGGCCGCAGCGAAGGAGAACGGCCTCCTGACAGGCCGGGCGTGCTCCTCCGGCATCGCGGGCGGGGAAGAGAAAATTCCAGAAGGGGAGTCGCGCCCCGGCCGCTCGGCCGCCGCAGCCCGCGGCATCCGGGGGCTTCCGGGTTTCGGGGGGCCCGAGGGGACGGAGGGACGGGTTGAGGGGCGACGGGGCCGGGGTCGCTTTCCACACGTAGCAGGGCGAGCGTGGGGCTGTGCGTGTTCTTCCTCCGTGCGTAGATCGCCGCTGTTGGGCGCTCACCGTTACACGGAGTCGGAGCGAAGGTGCACAGTGCGGGTGGAGTTGCCCCGGGACTGGGGAGCGGATCGGCGCGCGGTTCTCGGGTTGTAGCACGGGAAGGGCCGCGGAGCAGGCGATCGGGCAAGGAGGGCGTAGGAGCTGGGCTCGTCCTTGATTGCTTGCTTCTAAGGGAAGAGCAGGCGCCCGATCTAGTTCGCAGAAGCAGTGCGTTGAGCTAGGACAACCCAGGTGCGGGGGCTCCTGTCCCGGCTTAAAGTTAGCCCGCTTGACCTAGGGCTACCCTGACTCGGGCCTACCCCCGCCCCCGCCAAACGGAGATGATTGGTCTAAAAGACATTCTGGCCCGGCGTGGTGGCGCACCCCTGCAATCCCAGCAGTCGGGAGGCTGAGGCAGGAGGATCATTGTGAGTTCGAGACCAGCCTGAGCTACAAAGTGAGCTCAAGGCCAGCATGAACTGCATAGCAAGACCCTGTCTCAAAAAGATAAAAAGAAAAAGACATTCTAAGTGCTTGTGTGTGGCTTACTGCAACCTGCTGTGTAGCCCTCAGGGTAAATAACATCTTGGCTCGAATGAAATTTGTTTTAATGATCTCGAGTATAATTTTTGCATAATTTTTATAATATCGTATTACATACTGAGGAATTTCTTTTGGATTGTCAAGTAATGGTGTTCACTTTTGTCTCCCAGATTTCCTGTGCTTAATTATAGTGAGGGTGGTTCAGTTTAAAGTTTCATGGGAGATGGAGGGAGCCTTAATAGTTAGGAGTTGGCTTCTTCCGTGAAGGATGCACTTTGGAGATAACTTGAGTATACTAAATAAACGTCAGAGTTTAATATAAATGTTATAGTGAAGTTTTGAAAATGATGCAAGCTCCTCCACAGAAATGTTTAGGCTGAATTCAGCAAAACATTACTGGTCACTCAAATGCTGCTAGTTTTCTACTACACATTGAAATATTTAATTCAGTAACTAGGTACCGGGGGGACTGTAGTGAAAGAGAAAAGTCCCAACTCTCGTAGACCCTAGGAAGGGAAAGTTTTGAGTAACAATGAATTAAACATACTACTAACTGTAGTAGAAAATGTCAGGAACATTACTGTTTGTATCTCCCTATCCCACCCCACTCCCCCAAAAGAAGGGCCGGAAACAGAGAAGGCAAATAAAATGTTCAGGGAAGAACTCCTACGTGCTGAATGATCAAAGACACAGCCAAGTTTAGAGAAGGCAATGATACAGGCACTGGTGCAAAAACCCTGCGGATGGAATAAGTTTGACCTGTTTCAGAATAACAAAAATAGGAAAGGTATGGAGTTCTAGCTTGCGGAGGAAAGATAAGACGTCAGAGTTAGGGTGTATTAAGTGTGTGTACTCATTCCCCAAGATGAGCGTGATCACTGTACTGCAGACGAGTACTAATACAATTTTTAAATGGTGAGAAGTGAATTTACAAGCTGTAAGATAGGGGCAGACAATGTAGGGTCTTGTATTCCTGAAGAGGGATTGACATTTTGTTGTGAAAGAGGTGGGAAACCATTAAAGGGGAGTGACGGGATCTGATCTGTCAGAAAGCTGGCGGCTCACTCAGTGAATGGGAGTGAGAGGAAGAGGGAGGAGGAGTGTAAGTGTTCAAACTGAAGTGTTACTGTAGGAGTCCAACCCTTACTGCTGAAAAAGTGCTTCTACCCTTGTAGTTTCTTCTATAATATAAAAGCCATGCCGTATATTGTAAAGCAGTACTGCCCAATAAAACTTGCCTTTAGTGATGGAAATACTCTCTGTTATCTCTGTGCAGCATAACTGCTGTGTGTAGCTGTTCAGCTGTGGCTGGTACAATTGAACTGAGTTTTAGGTTTTAATTACTTTACATGGCCACATGTGCTAGCGTCTACTATATTTGGCATTAAGGCTGTAGAAAAATGTTCACATGAAGATTAAGTTCGTAAAACCTATCTGACTGCCCAACGAAGTCCAAACTTTTTAAATATAGTATAAAATGAGAATTTTAATAATTGTGGACAATTGAGTTTTTCAAAACATACACATTGGAATTACATTGTAATTCAAATGAGCACTCAATAGTTTGTATACTTTAATCCCTAAACATTTTATAGGTGTATATTTTGGTTTAAATGAGAATTTCCAGCTAACACGAAATGGCTGGCTTTTCAAAGCTCAGGTGCTAATACATTAAGAAAAATACTCATCACAAAAATACTAATAAAACCTGAAAAGGTATTTTAATCTGAAATGCCTTATATCCTTTCATCAGATTTAGCACTCTTACTATTCTTTATACTGCACTAAAAATATACATATATGTTATGATTTGATGTATATGTTGGTCTTTGTGATTCCCAAAAAAGTCATGCTTTATTCATACAGCGAGTGAGGAAATTGTGTATAATTTACGAATAACAACAACAAAAAATAACAATTATCATGCTTGACATACATAAATTTTACGTGATTATCTCAACAATATTGTGAGATGGGTGTTATTACTGCCCTTTTTATGTGTGAAAAAAATTGCCTAAGGTAATCTTGTAGTTAGCCAGAAAGCTAAGATTTGTAACCAGACAAACTGTACTACATGTGCCAAATACTTAGGTGTTGCTGTGTGTTTATTAGAAGGAGATAAAAGTATCTAGTGTTTGAAAATTCTTGTTTCGTTATCCTAAGAGGTTTTATTTTACAGCATTTTTCAGGATTAGAAGAGGCTGTGTTTAGAAACATACAAGCTTGCAAGGAGCTTGCCCAGACCACTCGTACAGCATATGGACCAAATGGTAATCTACAAATTCATGTTTTTAAAAATACAGTAATTGAATTTTGTGTACTAACTCTTCACATTGTTTCTAAGGGTACTATATTTACAGCTTGGCTTGGAAAATTATTTCATAGTTCAGTGATACCAATATTTTTCTTGTTTTTAATCAACAGTGTAGATCTCTAGAAAAATAGGAGTCAAATGTTAACTTTTTATCCTGTTGAGAGGATACAAAAATCATGGCATTTTCATTATTGACATCGTACTTTATATTCATTGTGACAAAGGTTAACCAGCTATTTCATCAAAAGTTACAGGAGCCCAGCATTGTGGCAAAGATCTATATAATCCCAGGACTCTGGAAGACTGAGATAGGAGGATTGCAAGTGCATGCCCATGCTGGGCAATTTAGTGATTTTTGAAAGACCCTGCCCCAAAATAAAAAATATATTTAAAAGACTGGATATATAACTGAGCATAGAGGCCCCGGGTTCAATCCTTAGTACCTCAAAAAAAAAAAAAAAAAAGCATAGGTTGAGAAAATTTTCTCTTGTTTTGCCTTCAAGTGCTGATTGAACTTAAGATATCAATTTATGGAATAAGCAAGAACTGTACTTTTAAGTGGATTATTTTGGTGTCGTACATATTAATGTCTAATAATTGAGCACTTGCTGCATGGTAAGCATGTTCAAATACCATAGCAGTCAGCAAAAATGTAAGGAGTTTTTGCCTTCTCCTTAGATATTGTAGATTAGGAAGAAAAATATACACGTGTAGTCAGAGAAAATCTTATGGGACTCAGATCTGAAGAATAGAGAATATGCATTGAATTTTTACAACACTTTAAAAAATAAATACAAATTTATATTTCTTGACTAAAGTTTCCTAGGTATTTGGGGAAGGAACTGCATAATAATGATTTTTGTATTTTAACTTATTTTTAAGGAATGAACAAAATGGTTATCAACCACCTGGAGAAGTTGTTTGTGACAAATGATGCAGCAACTATTTTAAGAGAGCTCGAAGTAAGTTATTTTCAAAACAACCCAAAAAATTACGTGTATTTTAATCTAGAAGAAATCTGTATTTCAGATACGACAATAAGGAACCTTTTTACGTCTTGAAATTTCCTTATACAGATTTATAGACTTAATGTTTAACATTTCAGTGGCTCACATTCTTTAAATCTCTGAAGTTGTTAACTGTGATAAAGTATACTTGCTGATAATATCAAATTGATTGTCTCACTCTATGGAAGGACACTGAAATGAATGATTCTGTACTGCAGTAACAAGTATTAATCAGTTGTTGGAAGTCTGCTGTGTTCACCTCCAGTTTTGACATTATGGAGTCTGTAAAATAGATATGGCCAGAAGAGTTAGGGGGAAGGATGGTCCCTAAGCACTTACAGTCATTTCTCATGACTGCCTTGTAATTGAAGGCTATGTTCAATGTCAGTCATTTTCCTAACATTTAGCCCTCAGAGGTACTAGAAGTTAATCTTGTATTTTAGATAAAAGTACAGATAAAGTAACATTTCTTTAATAACTTAAATAGCAATATATTCCCTTTTTTTTTTTTTCCCTGGTATCAGGAATCGAACTCAGGACCTTTGCACTTGCCATGCAGGTGCTTGTGTTGCTGAGCTATATCCCTGGCCCTTAAATAGCAGTATGTTCTCAAGGATACCTTTACCTCCACAAGTTATTTATGGAGAAACTTGTTATGGTGAATGTTAATGTTACACATGGTGATGTTCTCAGAAGATACTGGAGTATAATGGGCATAGTATCAAAAAAATAAAACCATAATGTTGACTTTTTATAATTTTTTTCTGTCAGTAGTTACTCCTTATTTCTGGAAAAGTATTTATTTAAAGTTAACTCCTGAGGACAGTTCTATAAAAAATAGGTACACTTTTAAGAACAAAATTTGTGCTGCTCTTTTTTTAATAATACTAGTGATACCTTTACAAGAACATACAGTAAGATAGATACTGCAGCTCTTAACTAAGCTCAGTGCTGCCTATTTTAGTTCCTTTGAAGACTTCAAATGCCCAGGTTTAGTGGTTGGAATCACTTTTTATTTTTTGGTTTTTTTCTGGTATCAGGAATTGAACTCATGACCTTGCGCTTGCCAGGCAGGCGTTGTGCTGCTGAGCTAAATCCCCAGCCCCAACTTTTATTTTTAATATAGAAATATATAATGATAGGCAGAACCTTTTGGAGCTCTGTGTAATGGATAACTGGCCATCATCAGAAGATGTGCTTTGTAGCTGTAGTGGTACATTTGTGATGATAGGCCTAGAAGGTTTTAAATTTTCTTCCTGTGACCAGTCTGATAATAGTTTATAAATGTAATCAAATGGAGTTAACCTGGCGTGTGTAGGAATAGTGGAGTTTATTAATTTAATATAAGGAGATGATGATTTTATGTTGCTTTAAGGGTCAAATGCTTTGCTTCGTACTCTTTTATACCAGGTACAACATCCTGCTGCAAAAATGATCGTAATGGCCTCTCATATGCAAGAGCAAGAGGTTGGAGATGGCACAAACTTTGTTCTGGTGTTCGCTGGAGCTCTTGTGGAATTGGCTGAAGAACTTCTGAGGATTGGCCTGTCAGTTTCAGAGGCAGGTGTTTGTTTTATAGTTTACTCCCATTTAATTTTTGTCTGTATATATGGCTACTACTTTAAATGTGGAATCATTATTAAAGGAGTAGCTTACATTATTGAGAGGTTTACTCTATGCTGGGCATTGTAGTACCCGTGTTTCACATGTGGTGTATCATTTTAACCTCTAAAGAATCTTATTAGTGAGGCCTACGAAACCTGGTTTGTGTGCTTGTTTGTTTGTCTTTGTGAGACAGGGTCTTGCTATGCAACTGAGGCTGGCCTTAAGCTCACTGTGTAGCCCAAGCTGGTCTCAAACTCTCAACAATCCTCCTGCCTCAGCCTCCCAAGTACTGGGATTACAGGCATGCACCATTGCACCTGGCTAAACCTGTTTTATTTTAAATGAGGACAGTGGAAGTTAAGTTAGAAAAATCTTGTCAAATCCTGTAGCTAGTAATTGGTGGAGTCTTAGACTCAAATTGCATTGTCACCTGAGCGTAGACTCATAATTACTAGGCTCCGCTGTACTTGTTATTTTGTCATTTTATGTTGAAAATAAATGCTGTGTTCATTGGATTACTAGAATAAGCTTTGTCATCTCAAAATCATGTCTTTTAAAGAAATGCTTTTTCTTTACATTTTAGGTTATAGAAGGTTATGAAATAGCATGCAGAAAAGCCCATGAAATTCTTCCCGAATTGGTATGTTGTTCTGCAAAAAACCTTCGGGATGTTGAGGAGGTGTCAGCTGTACTTCGTACCCCCATAATGAGTAAACAGTATGGTAATGAAGCGTTTCTAGCCAAGCTCATTGCTCAGGCATGTGGTAAGTAAATATCAGTAAGTGAAAACATCCAAAATAAAGATCTTTAACGTGAGTAAGATATTTTCTTAATGTTTTTGATATGTTTCATCTTCTTAACAGTATCTATTTTTCCTGACTCCGGCCATTTTAATGTTGATAACATCAGAGTTTGTAAAATTCTGGTAAGTTTAGAAAATGCATTAACATCATCAGAATTACTCTAAGTCTAAACCTTCCCTCCTGTGTTAGACATTGCTTTTATGTATTTTATGTACCCGAGCATAGTTAGGGTGGTTTTGTGCCTTGGCATCCTGCTATTAATGTAGTTGGATTTAGCTCATAGCACTGTGTGTGTTCTGTTTGTACACGGGCCATGTATTTTCTGTCTCCATACATGTACTGCCCACCTTCCCTACTAAATTGCAAATACTGTATTAATAGCTGTTCCCGGTATGTTGGTAGCAAGACTTACTGTGTCCCGTGTGAGTGGCTCAGAGCAGTCATAGTCTACATTCATTCTTCCCAGTTAGTGTGTACGGAAGTACAACTAATGGTGGTTTTGTGTTCAAACTTAGGGCTCTGGTGTCTTTTCCTCTTCGGTATTACATGGCATGGTTTTTAAGAAGGAAACTGAAGGTGACATAACATCTGTCAAGGATGCAAAAATTGCAGTGTACTCATGTCCTTTTGATGGCATGATAACAGAAACTAAGGTATGTAAACCTCACACATTAAAAGTAAATATTGGGTTGATTTTTCAGTTTAGTTTTGAGGTAGAGTTGAATATCTAAAGATGGTAGCAGTATTGTTTATATTGGATAATATAGCAAGTAAAAAAAAATATGAGCACTTTGTGTGTTCATGAATTATTTATTTGTTGTTGTTGTTGTTGAGACGGTCTCATTGTGCAGTCCGGGCTGGCCCGGACTCACTGTGTAGCCCAGGCTGGCCTCAAACTCCCAGCGAACCTTTGGGGATCCTCCTGCTTCAGCTTCTCAAGTGCTGGGACAACAGGTGTGTGCCACCGTGCCCAGCTCAAAAATACTTTTAAAATATTGGTAGCATCCTAACACCAAAAATAAGGTTAATGTAATTTGAAAATGATAAGTCATTTTTTAAAACCTTGTATATCTAGTCAGCAGTGGCTGGCTTCATCCACCACATTCTCTCCCACCTTCTCTCTGCCCCTGTTTGTTTATTTGGGTTTTTTTGTTTTGAGACATTCTCAAACTTGCGATCCTTTAGCCTTAGCCTCCCAAGTAGCGGGGACTGCTAGAATGCATGACCACACCCTAACATTCTTGAAATCTAAGTTTTTGGTTTCAAAAGTCTCTGCAGGACTGGGAGAAGGGGAAAGTCTTTTAGTCCACACTTCGGGAAAACCCTGAGAACCACAGCATTGCTGTTTCAGTGACACTAGCTAATTTTATAAAAGGCAAGTACCAGGGTACCTGGCTTACATATCTAAAAGAACAGTGTTCCCCACCTTTTCCACCAAGTCCCTGTCAGGGAAAATGAGATGAGGGTGTCTAAGAGCAAGATGAGTGTGTTAATTTCATAGATTTTGGTATTCTGTTTCATCATACATATTTTCCTGATTTCTCCAAAAATCCATAAATTTTTTTTTCAGTAAAATGTTACTCTAGGATTTTGAACAACAAAGCAGTAAACTGTTGTTTATAAAGATTCTGCTTGCCTGTTTTGTCAGGGAACAGTATTGATAAAGACAGCTGAAGAACTGATGAATTTTAGTAAAGGAGAAGAAAATCTCATGGATGCACAAGTCAAAGCTATTGCTGATACCGGTGCAAATGTCATCGTAACAGGAGGCAAAGTGGCGGACATGGCTCTTCATTATGCGAACAAATACAATATCATGTTGGTGAGGTAAGAGCTGCATTCTGTTAACTGATATTATAAATGATTTTAGGTAGTAAAACACTAAAATTCAACAAACTGAGACATCTTTTAAATTTTATTTATTTATATATTTTTTTTGGTACCAAGAATTGAACTCAGGACTTTGTGCTTGCCAGGCAGGCACTTGAGCCACTGAGCTATCCCTGGCTCTGAAGACATCTAATAAAGGGAAAGTACAAGTAGTCAAACAAATAGTGAAAGGACTTAAATCTGGGGAGATAGGAAATGACTTTTTTTTGGAGAGAGCATTTCACTGTGTAATTCAGGCTAAATTCAGGCTGGCCTTGAACTCCTGGTGGTCCTTCTACCTTAGCCTCCGAGTGTTGGGATTACAAGTGTGCGCCACCATAATGACTAACATTCCAGGCGGAATGAACAGCTTGTTAGAGATCATAGTATATTGCCTGTTGCCCAGAGTATGGAGTCAGCAGATACCTTTTAATCCTTAAACACGTTTATGGGACACACTAGACAACGGACTTTCCTATCCATTTTTATCTACCACCGTTCTTAGTACCAATCCAATCTACACAATAAATTACTGCACTCTTCCTCGAAGATTGTATGACTGTACAAGATAAAGCAGTTTTCAGTATATACACTGCTTCCTTGGTGTTTTGGAACTATAAACCCCTGATACTCTATAAAGTGACTTTACCTCTCCCAGCTGTCAAAAAATAATGTGCAACAAACTTACAGTGGCATTGCTGGCTGGGCTCATTCTCAGAGTCAGGAATTGGCTTCTTGGCCTAAGAATCCAGCATAATGTGTTCACATTTAAATCCAGAGTCAAGAGTATTACTTGGGGCCGAGCCTGGTAGCACATGCCTGTAATCCCAGCACTTGGGAGGCTGAGGCAAGAGGATCGCTGTGAGTTTGAGACCAACCTGGGCTACAAAGTGAGCTCAAGGCCAGCCTGAGCTGCATATCGAGACCCTGTCTCAAAAAGAAAAAAAAATATTACTTGGGAGCTGGTGTACAATTTCTTATTTAATCCCTGTACTGTATATGCATATGTATATGGTAGAATTAAAACTTTATATTAGTTAATTAAACTCTTCTCTCTGAAAGGCTCAACTCAAAATGGGATCTTAGAAGACTATGTAAAACAGTTGGTGCTACAGCTCTTCCTAGATTGGTATGTATTCTGGGAAACATTAAAAAGATCATTGAACCTATTTGAAATTTTACTACCACAGTTACTGTCTTGCAGACTCCTCCCGTCCTTGAAGAAATGGGACACTGTGACAGCGTTTACCTCTCAGAAGTTGGAGACACACAGGTGGTGGTTTTTAAGCATGGTATGTAGTCACGGTAAAATGTGTTGGTATGAATGTGAGATGTTTCTTTTATCTAACCCTCAAATATATTTGACAGAAAAAGAAGATGGTGCCATTTCTACTATCGTACTTCGAGGTTCTACTGACAATCTGATGGATGATATAGAAAGGGCAGTAGACGATGGTGTTAACACTTTCAAAGTTCTCACAAGGGTCAGTATGAGCAGTAATCTTGTTTTAAAAACAGCTGATAGACTTCTGAACATAATGCCAGGTTCAAAGTGGGTTTAAAAGCAAAGCACAGTTTTCATTTAAGACTTTAATCTACAAAAATTTAGATTGTTTTCAAAACATAGTTGTTTTTATAATGTACTACTTTCACCGTTCTTCGTGCTGTGTGTGGAAATGCAGGTAAAAGATGGTTCTGGTCCTGTTCTCCATTTTTGGTCTCTTTTATGTATCAGATACTATCTAGTAAGAAACTTTGCTTCATTGATTTTTAGTCGAAGAAAATACCCTAATCTGGTGGAGTACTGTAGTCTGACTAGAAAACTGCCTTTTGATGACTTATTTTCCTTCTTTTTGGTACCATTTACAGGATAAACGCCTTGTACCTGGAGGTGGCGCAACAGAAATTGAATTGGCTAAACAGATCACATCATATGGAGAGGTACAGATTTTTCTATTATAAATTGATTTTCTTTCTCCTATTGAATAAAGTGAAATAATAAATGTATTTTGTTTTAGACCTGTCCTGGACTTGAACAATATGCTATTAAGAAGTTTGCTGAGGCTTTTGAAGCCATCCCACGGGCACTGGCAGAGAACTCTGGAGTTAAGGCCAATGAAGTAATCTCTAAACTTTATGCAGTGCATCAAGAAGGAAATAAAAATGTTGGATTAGATATTGAGGTATTTGAAAAAACACTGTGATAGTAAATTGCTTTATTTGGTGAATGCAGAACTTAAAAATAGAAGCAATATGTGTAAAAAAATCTGAGGAAAAATCTGATTTGTGAACAAATGGTTTTCTTAAAATTAGTTTTTACTTAATTTGATGAAATTTTGTTTCTATATCCTTTTATGATATGTATGGGGTAATGGTTCTTAATGATTAATTTACTTGTATAATACCATTTAAGAAGCTGTTTGGGTTTTTGTTGTTGAGTACAAATATTTTCACATAAAGGAATTTAAGATGAAAGGTGGAAATGATTTTGTGTTACCAGGCTGAAGTTCCTGCTGTAAAGGACATGCTGGAAGCTGGTGTTCTAGATACTTATCTGGGAAAATACTGGGCTATCAAATTGGCTACTAATGCTGCAGTTACTGTACTTAGAGTTGATCAGGTAAGCAAAAAGCAAAAGTTTGATCTTTGAAAATGCTCATTTTAATGAGGCTCAGTAGTGTATTTTCACAGAACTAGAATAGCATAGTTATAACTGTATTTAAGGAAGTATTTCAGTTCCCTCATTTTAGAGGTAAAATATACCCAAAATGTTGTCCATTCTATTTTCAGATTGTTTAGTCATAGAACCCCTATATATACAGTCATCTTGGTAGTTACATTACATAGGTGATATTAAGAGGGAATATAGAGGGGCTGGGGATTTAGCTCAGTGGCAAAGCGCCTGCCTGGCAAGCGCAAGGTCGTGAGTTCGGTTCCCGGTACCAGAGAAACACCAAAAAAAAAAAGGGAATATGGAAAAAAAAAATGCAGTGTGGAAGGATCATAAAACCCAAAGTGGATATAGATTACCAACCTTAACGTGATGAGATGAGAGGACATGAGTGTGCTGAGTTTTTCCAGTCTGACAGACTAACTACCTTGGGGTTCTAAAAAATAAAAAGTTTTAAAGATGATATTATTGCTTACCATTTCTTGGCGGGGCTTTAGGGGATTTTTTAGGTATTTTTTAGGTAAAACCTATTCTGAACTTGTGAAATTCAAACTTAAAAAGAGGGCAGGGGAGCTTGCTGGTATGTGCTTTATGCACTCTGCACAAAGATATGTATGAAGAATCTGACTATATTAATCAGCTTGTATTAGTATAAGGGACTTTGTCTTTTTTTTTTTAGATAAATATGCCAAGTGTTTTCTTTTTAAAATCAGGAATTTATAAACAAGAAAGCATACACTAATTACATAAAAATAGCTCTCAAGTAGCAGAGTAAGCGGTTGGTCGTATTGTCATTAGCAGCAGCAGAAGACAAGGCAGGGGCCCTGAAGGAACTTACAGTCTTATAAAGACCTTGCTGTATCTGATTTTAATTAGTATACCTTCTGGGAAAAAAACTTGCAAATCAAGCGTAAGCCATTCCTTCGTGTAGTACAAGTATAGTCCCCAGTCATAAACATCTTCACCACCTAAGAGTCTGCTAAAAACTAGACTGAACCAGAAACCAAAGGGAGCCCAGCAGTTTAACAACTCTTGCCATACAGGACTACCACACAAACATCTAGGCAAGAACTCCACCACTGAACCATCTACCCTGCCCACTCAGATGTAGATTTATTGAGGCTTCTGAACAGGGGTAGCAGTGAAGAAGTTTTAAAGTTTATGTTACTTAAAACAGGCCAGTCCCCTTGATGTATAATAAATACCTCTTAATCACATAAATTTGGAAAGCAACAAATACTATATTAGTTATTAGTTTAACTTCACCCAGATAAATGCATTTGAGTCCAAAGCTATCATCATGATGCTTTGAAACATAAATCTTGAAGTATTACATAACTGTACTTGATAAAATGTTGGGTTAGCAGATTTTGGATAAACTAGAGAGAGGCTGTGGTATATGTTTTATATTACCAGGGGTCAGAGTATTTGGGTCAGTAGGCTCTTCCTGCTGTTTGAGTGGTTCTCAAAGACACTAGAAAATTTGTGTTAAAACTTTATATATATTTATCAACTACTTTAGATTATAGTGGCAAAACTGGCAGGTGGACCCAAAGCTCCTAAACCACAAGGACACTGGGATAAAGATGGCTGGCAAGATGAAGCTCATGTATAAATAGCAAATCAGGTGCCAGCGATGCATGCAGATACTTCCCTGTTCTGCCTGAGTCGTCAAAGTGCATGTCTTGGAATGTCATTCACTAATCTGTGTGGACTTTGTTGCTGTTTATCCACAAAAGTAGGAAGCTTTCTCACACTGCTGGAAGTTCAGAATTTAATCTCTGAGATGCAATGTGTAAGAAATTGCTTATTTTGAAAGGATTGCTTACTCTTAAATAAGGCTAATAGAAAAGTATTTTTATCTTCTTTCTGAAGGATAGTTTCTAAGCATACTTTTTGTGATTTTTGTTACGCAGATCATCATGGCCAAACCAGCCGGTGGGCCCAAGCCTCCAAGTGGGAAGAAAGATTGGGATGATGACCAACATGATTGACTGGCTTAATTTTTACTATAGATGAACACAGCATTTGTAGCAGTACTCTAGGAATTACTGTTTTCTTACTCTCCTTAAATTAAGAGTGTGCGTTTGTTTCCTCAGCTGATGTAATAAACATTGTTACTGTTAAAGCCTCAATACCTGATGTTGTTACTGAGTCTAAGAGATCTTTGTTTTGATGTTGTTAATCACATTCACCGTGGGATTTAGTATAGCTGCCTGTTTCCCTTCTTTATTGTCTGCCTCTCATTTTTGTAAGTAAGTTATTAGAATACAGTCATCGTCTTACTATATTATGTATTGCCACATGCTTTGTATAGGAAATGGCAGAGTTGAGTTGTCGTGAAGACCCACATGGGTTCGGACAGCCTGAAGTGTTTATCGAACCCTTCACAGCAAAGTCTGCCAAACCCTAGGCCACATCTCCAGTGCTTTTCTCATAGTTCTGGAAATCCTGAGACTGATTTTTCACTTGGCAGTAAATGCTCTATTGAAAACAAGATTCAAGTAGCAAAGTACAAAAGAGATGCTTATGATACAGTTGAAATATATTTCCTGACGTGTCCACCTTGAGGAAGCCAGTTTTCATATAGTAAAATAAATCCACTTTAATTAAGACCCTATACTAAGGAGTGCTTGAAAAGCAAAGAACATGGGACTGGTGGTTATAGCTCAGTGATAAATAAAATACCTGCCCACCATGTGCAGTGCTGTGGTTTCAAACCCAGCACTAAAAGAAATGTATAAAATGCTAAATTACATGTATTTTTATAAGATGTGGTACTATATGTATTGGTTATGTAAGGCAGGCCCCTAAATTACACTGTTTGAAACAGTATTTAGTATTTAAAGGAATTTTGGGAGCAATCTAGCTGGCTAGTTCTTACACATGAGTAAATTCACTGGGTATTAGGGATGATTTATCACATTAGAGCCATGGCAAGATGGGTTTATTTGTCAAAGAATAGATAACTAAGTTTGGACAGGCTTGGTGCACTTAAGCCTCTGGGTTGCACGTAACTTGGTGCACTTAAGCCTCTCTGCGTTGTATGTAACTCAAACAGTAGCTGAGTGGGTGGTGAACAAATTTACAAGGACAGTCAGGCTTTTGCTAGCCTGGTGTAAAGGCACCAGGTACCAGATGACGGTCTGTTGTAAAGGCAGACTTGGTACCTGATATACAGTCCAAGGTGTGAGACTGGGTCAGCTTGTATCATGTCTGCTTTGGGTCAGCTCAACAGTAGCACAGAGCAAGAGCAGTTTATGTCCACTGTACAGCAGGACAAGGACCACAGACACATTTCTATTACATACTGGTACTAACATAAATTATGCCAAGTATCTGTGCTTATAAAATTAAATGCAGTGTAATACAGTTTCATTAGCCAGACTCAAACTGTTACCTGTTAAGTACATGTAACTTTGTAAGTAATAAAACAAGTTTTGGAGGTAAGTTTATTGATATGTCATGACCCACCACCCACATACTGAGCACAGAGGACTTAATTCAAATTTCCAGAAACAAAGCAGGAATGAAAAAAAACATGAGAAAAAACCACTGAATTGCCAAGGATTTTTTTCCCTTCAGTATTTATGATTTCTTCTGTCATGTGAAGTGAACATGATTTATAGTCTTAATTTTTTTTATTGTTAGTACAGCCATTGTAAAAGCTATAAACGCTTCCAGAGGAAACATCTGTTGTTATAGTACCCGCTCGTAAAATAGGAGGTACGCTTGTGAGCTCAGGACCTTAGCTGTAGGCACAGCTTGCACGTGTGTATCGCTGATGTGGAACCACTGCCCTTTGGTGGATTCCATTTCAAAATCTATAGAGAGGAAATGCAAAATTAGTTACATATAAATGGACAGATGCAAGCTCGTTCTAGTTTAGTCTTACCATAACCTTCGAAATGCCTTAATTTTCTAATGCAGCTTACCTTGTGGAATATCGCCATGAAGAACAAGATTAGAGAGATGATGATTTGCAGTTCTTGCTTTGGCATAGGCAGTGTAATGCCCTGATCTCATTGTACCACTGTGTTCCACAACTCCATATAAGGAATATAGGACTCTTGTATTTTCTTCAGCAACGTTCTTTAAAAATAGTCAAAAAGTTAGCTTTAGTCCCAGTTATACAGGTTACCACTGGTAAGACAAATGTACACCATTTAGATAGTCTTCACATTTACTTAGTATACAAATTATGTATGGCTTTGAACTTAATTATTTTCTCCCTGCCTTTTCTCCAACTCCTAGATTGTCTGCTGGCCTACAAACCAGTTCAATTCTCCAGACCTTTAACAAGTCTGGAGATCCACCACTTTTTTTTGTGAGACAGGGTCTGACTAGTGCAGCCTGGCCTCAAACTCCCTGGGTTCCTCCTGCCTCAGCCTTTCAAGCACTGCTGTTACAGGCATTACCTTTTTAACAAAATCTCTATCATATATACCTACTTCATCTCCACAATGCCCTGAGGTTCCCAACATATCTGGAAGATGTTTACCATAACCTCTGTACTGCCTAATCCATGACCAGTTTCTAGTCCTTTTCTCAACTCAACATAAAGCCACTTAGTCCCTTCCTTGAAACTTGAACACAAGACAATGGTTTTTTAGGCAAAGTACTGATTTCTAACAATCTCATATCCAAAAGTAACAAAGCGTTTGCCAGCTGAAGTAACCCAACCCTATGGTGATAAGAATAATCATGGTGGGTGTGGCACGCCTGTAATCCCAGCGCACAGCAGGCTGAAGCAGAAAGATGGCTGAGTTTGAGGCCAGCCTGGGCCTGTGAGAGACCCTGTCTCAAAAAATAATCATGATTCACTACCCACTAACTCTGGAATTACACCTTCCTTGGAGAACTTTAAATTGGCAGGGAGAAAAAGACTACTCATTTCAAAGTTTACACATTAAGAGTTTGATTAATAGGCTCACATTGAAGTATTTGAGATCTACAGTAAATAGTATAGTTTCTCTGGTGCTCAACTCTTGGAGACCTTCCGCAATGTGCCCTTTCACAGTAGCTCTGTCTTTTCACTCAGGTGTTCCTGAATCCCCTCCTTGGCTCCCTCATCTTTCTAGGCTCTACACAAGGGATCCTGTTGCACATTTAAACACCACCTATGTATTAATTTTCAAACTTTCATCTCCAGCCCTAACCTCTGCCCTGAGTCATGCAGCAACAGTGCGTCCCACATCTGTTCTGCATACACCGATCTTAATATTCAGCCACAGTAAGCAGATTACCCACTAATATATGTGCCCACCTTTTCTGTGCCATAGTACCGGGGGTTCAGAATAACATTCATCTAAAGTAAACTAATCTTCAAAGGCTCACTTGATTCTTACCAGCCTCATACTAGGGGCTATGGGAGTATCCACTAAACTGACTTCTCCAACTAAAGCATTTTCCTAAAAAAATTTTTAAAAAGCCACTTTCACTTACCTTGCACTTAAGAGTACAAAAAGGAGCCAAATCTAAGATTTCTGGAAACTTTATGTGTTTATTAACTTTACGTAGGCTAAAACCAGCCTGAAAAAAAAGCAGATGAAATTATTTTGGAAAACCTGGTCATGTTAGGTACACTGTAGTTCATCACAGACACCCAAAAAACACTAGCATCCAGCCCTGATTCAACCTTCTCACGGGAAACTTCTTCCTAACTACTATCTGATTCCAAGGTGGCTAATTTCTGTGAGGTGAATACGCACATGCGCACATACCCCAACACATTTAAGGAAGCCACCCCATGAGCCTCCAATGTTTCTGCTTTAGTCTCCAGAAAAGCCACATTACACCAGACGTTTTGAGTGCTGACAGCCAGCAATAGCAGAATATTTCTCTGAAACACACTCAGCCTCACGCTAACCAAGCTTAGTTAACTTAATAAAGAGCCACTGAATTAGACAAGGTCATACCAACCACAAGACAGAAAATGTTCTGAAGATCCTGAAGGTACTTTTGGAATTTGGAACAGAATTTCAAGGTTGTAATGCTATAGCAAGTCTTCCAAAAAAAGACTGAGGGTCACCAAATCGCTGAAAATCCAAGGGACCAGTTTTTTTATCAAGAATCAGTAAAATTAAGACACCATCCAGAAATAACTGTAATATTTCTAGTTCTGAGATACAGGTAGTACACTGGTCTTTTTTTAACCTTGACAGTAAGGTCAGAGCAAGATACTAAAAAGAGTAACACAAGTTCTAGTAATTGTGAGAAAGGACTGTCTGAACTTCTCCTCTGGGAAAGCACGCTTGCCTTGCCACACATAGTATTTACTTTCCTACTGCTATGAAATCAGAATTAAGAAAAAACAGAAAACCAAAGCAACATTAAGCTAAGACAAATACATAGGCATTGTACACTCAAAAACAAATGTAGGGTAATAAACAAGGGTACCTGCTGAAATCTCTTTAAATGAAGAGTGAGAACAGGAGGGGCAAGAGAAATTAGCATTTGCTTTTTAGCATTAGTGTAAACATGCTTCCGCTCACCTACAGGAAAGAAGAAATTTTAGCACGTGAAAATCATGTTTGACCTCCAGAAAATCAAGTTTTGCTATAAAATATATTTAAATATCTAATGCAAGGACCAGCAAACTTTGCAAAGAACAAAATAATAAATATTTGGGGCAAGGGAGATAGCTCAGATGCAAAGCACCTGCCTGAAAAGTGCAAGGTCGTGAGTTTGATTCCTGATACCAAAAAAAAAAAAAAAAAAATAGTAACTATTTTATGCTCTGTGGACCAAAAGACAAAATCAAGGATATCTTTTTTAAGTATTTGTGTATGAAAAATTGTTTCACAAACTTTACAGATGAAATAAAAATACAGTAACAGGGCCAGGTATGGTGGTGCATGAGTGTAATCCCAGTACTCGGGAGGCTGAGGCAGGAGGATTGCCTTGAGTTCAAGGCCAGCCTGGGCTACACAGTGAGTCCAGGCCAGCCTGAACTACATAGCAAGTAGTCTCAAAAACAAAACAAAAAAAATACAGTAATAAGAGTCTGAGCATACTCTATTAAAAGAAGAAGGAAATTATTTCTCAGGGACATAATACTTTGCTTAGTGTTGCAGAGTGACTATTCCCTACCCTATCATAAAACCATTCATTTATTCATTCATTCACTCATTTATGAGAACCATTTTTGAGGTTTTCTTTTCTTGAGCTCAGTGGTAGAGTGCTTACCTAGCATGCACAAGGCCCTGGATTCAATCCCCAGCACCACAGAAAAAAACTTTGTAAAGTGAAAGATCAGCAAGATGGCTAGATAGTGATGCCCAGCATATTTCTCCACAAAGGACCAAAACAAAGGAAAACATGTTTTAGCCCTGAAACTATACCAAAAACAGGTAGACAGCCAAACTGGGCCAATGCCTACTGTAAAGCAAACTCTAATGCTGTAAAATCAAAGCAATTTACTTTTTGTCCTACATGTACAGTTTTTAAAAGCTAGGATTTAAACACACATTAACAATGCCACTAAATATCCTTCACAGTCCACGGCCCCTCCCTACCCAACTTATCTGAACTCAAAACAAGAGGCAAGAGAGGCTGCAGGGAACTGTCATTATCTCCCTGTCCCGTATTTGGTATTTGAGGGTTGAAAGAAAGTGTGTGATTTTCGGGGTCAAGAAGATGAAGGTCCTCTGAAATGGTAGGGAACTGAGGACGCCCAAACAGAAATAACCACTGTCTGTCAGGACGCCGTCTTGTGACAGCGTTCCAGTGGGATAATTTGCCTTGGAGGGAGGTGTCGGAGAGCAAAATGTACCACTAACTGCTGCTGAGGTGTCACTAGCTCCCTCAATAAAGTCCTTTCAGATTTCTGTTAAAATATTTCTGCACGAGAGCACTTATCCATGCCATCCGACCCTGATACAACAGAACTCTAGCTATGCAATGCCACATGTGCCCCTTATTAATTTTACTAGCGAGAAAATTAAATACCTTTTACGTTTGCCTTTGGTCCATTACATTGCCTCCGCGTGCATACTTCACACAGCAGTTTATTTGCATCTCGAAGTTTCTCATTACGAGTGAACTGATACAAACAATGTTGGATTGAACACTC